CCTTCCCTGATAATGAAACTGATGACTATCTTATATGCCATCCTAGAGTCTTCATCCAGTAACTAATGGAAACAGAAGCAGACACCCACAGCTAAACACTGAGACCAACTCCTGGAATCCAGTTACAGAGAGGGAGGAGTGATGAGCAAATGGGACAAGACCAGGCTGAAGAAACCCACAGAAACAGCTGACTGGAACACGGGGGAGCTCATGGACCCCAGTCTGATAGCTGGGAGACTATCATTGGACTGACCCAGACACTATGAACATAGGTGTTAGTCAGGAGGCCTGGACAATCTCTGGGGCCTCTGGTAGTGAAACAGTATATATCCCTAGTGTAGGAATGGACTTTGGGAGCCCATTCCACAAAAAGGGATATGCTCTCACCCTAGACACATGGGGGAGGGCCTAGGCCCTGCTCCAAATGATATGACAGACTTTGAAGATCCCCCTGGAAGGCCTCACCCTCCCTGGGGACTAGAAAAGGGGTGGGATGAGGGTTGGTAGGGGGCATGGGATGATGGGAGGGAGAGGGAACTGGGACTGATATGTAAAACAGGATTGTTTCTAATTTAAATTTTAAAAAGAGAGAAGAAAAGGGTACAACCTTCACAATAAGATTCTTCTTTTTATGTTTGTTTTTACTTTTGTTCTGTTTGTTTTGCTTGGGGTTTCTTTTAAATCGGTTTTGTTTAGGGGGGGAGGATGCAAGGGCAGAGGGAGGATAAGGAGGGTAAATGGATGGGGAGATAAGTGGGATTAGAATGCATGGTGTGAAACCCCCAAAGAATAAAAAAAAAGTTAAAAAAGTTAAAAAAGTTAAAGAAAAAAGGAATACAAACCACTATCTGGGACTCTGTTACTTGCTTCTGGGACCCTTTCTTCCTATCCAGTTGCCTTCCTTGTCCAACATTAATGGAAGAGGAGGTACCTAGCCTCACTACAATCGGATATGTCATGGCTGGCTGATATCCATGGGAGGCCTGCCTTTTTCTAAGAAACAAAAGGAGTGGACTGGGGGTGCAAGGGTTGGGGGGGGTTAAGAAGAAATGGAGGAGAGGAGGGAGAGGAAACTGCAGTCAGGGTGTGAAAACAAAAAAGTAAATACATAAATAAAAGAAAAAATTTCCAAACTGGGCAGTGCTTTAATCCCAGCATTCTTGGATGCAGAGGCAGGCTAATCTCTGTGAATATGAGGCCAACCTGATCTATGGAGATAGTTCTAGGACAGCCAAGGCTACACAAAGAAACCCTGTCTGAAGAAAAAAAGAAAGAAAGGAAGGGAGGGAGGGAAGGAGGGAGGAAGGGAGGCAGGGAGGGAGGGAGGGAGGGAGGAAGAAAAGAAAAACAAGACAAAAAAAAAACAAAAATAATCCAGAAAAGTCATAAAAACATGTCACAGGATAATTGAGGAAGGTTCCTCTCAGGAAGTCAGCCATAACTCCATATTACTAAATATTCATGTAATTAATGCTCCCAAACATCATTCATACCTGAAATATAAGTAATCAAAAGGCAGTGTGCAGAAGTGCCAATTTTAGACATGACTATCACTTTCCATTATTAACACTCATACTTCCTTTAAAATCAGAAATAAAATGGACATGACTTCAGTTCATGATTGTCATATTGTTAAGTAGCAGACAGTAAAAAAGTTCACGCTTCAATGTGCAATATACCACTATTTTAAGAAAAGAAAGTAAATCCAGCTATATGGGAAAACCTACTACTATTATTCTGCTGAATGGATATAACATTAAAATGATTCCTAACGACTTACTGCCATACCCATACATAAGTACATATTTAAACACTTAACACAGAATCTTCTTACAGTAGAAGACAATCAAACCAAGACCCACAACAGCTCAACATGCAAAGAATAAGAGTGAGGGACACTACTGCAACCCCACCATAAATAGCTGCAGGAAACAAAATCTAAGTGAATACATTCTGCTTGAAGGACTCCCAGGAAAACAAAACAAAACAAAAACAAAAAACAAAGAGAATTGAAATAAGAGAAAGTTAAAAATATAAGATAAATTCATTCCACAAACATGCAAAACACCACAAAAAGAATATGTCTAAACTACCCACCACAGCCTATATCCAAACTCCCAGCCCCCTCATACTGGAAGCCAAAACTTGCTGAGATAGCTGGAATATCTAAGAAAGAATTAATAGTCCTACTCAAAAACAAAACACTGTAATGCCCATATTGAAGATTCAAACAAAAAGATTCACAAACTAAAGACACCTACCCAAAACCCTGGTGAGACAGACAATCTTCAAAGTGAATGAAATAGTTAGCAAATTAGAGTAAAAAGATCAAAATGTGGAAGAAAAGTTCAACTGAGAAGACTGAAACAATGAAAAAGAACCCAAGAGAAATACTGGCAATGAAAGAATGATTAATCAAATAAAAACTCCATCAAAAGCATCAACAAAAAAGACTATGTAGAATGAACTTTAAGGATGGAAAACAAGGCTGAGGAACTAATACAATCATGTGTGTGGTGGGGGAGTATATATTCTTGAATATATTCTAGACTTCTTGGAAATACTGGCTGTTTTAAGTAATTTTGCTCATGCATGTATGTACAGATGAGCAAAATTACTTAAAACAGCCAGTATTTGCAAGAAGTCTGGGATATACATGCACATATACATACAGACATACATACAGACATACATAAATACAAACATGAACAAAATTACTTATAACAACCAATAGTTCCAGGAAGTCTGGGATATATTCAAGAGTCCAGACCCAAGAATTTGTGGGATAAAGGAAGGAACAGAGGTGAAGTTGAAAGAAATACACAGCCTATTTAATGAAATTATAGCAGAAAAAAATTCCCAAATCTAGAGAAAGAAACTACACATCAAAACATAGGAAAAGAACCACAAATAGACCTGACTGGAGAAAAGCTTTCCATGATGTATCTATCATAGTCAAGATGTCAAAAATACAACAAAACAATGCTAATGAGAAAATTGTCAAGTCACATACAAAGACAGAAACATCACAATAACCAAACCTTATATCAGAAACTCTAAAAAGCCAAAAACATGAAGTGAAATATTTCAACCTCAGAAAGCAAAAAAACTATAAACCAAAAAGTCTAAAAGTCTATACCCAGTGATGCTATGTTTAAAAATTGAGCAAGATACAAAAAAAAAAAAAAAAAAAAAAAAAAAAAAAATCAAGTAACTTTGTGGCAGCCAAGCCACAACAGAGAAAATTCCCCAAAGAATACTATACAGGGAAGAAGAAAGACAGTTTCTTCCACATATAACATATATGTACAGTGAAATACAGAGAAGAACGAAGCCCTGACATCTGAGGGGACATGATGAACCTTGACAACACCATCCTGAGTAAAACAGTCAGTCACACATCGTACAATATGACCACACTAAAAAAGTTTATAACATCATCAGAAGTAAAATAATGATGGGCAAAGGCTGGGGGGGGGTGACAAAGGAAGGGAAGGAGGCCAACAAACAAAGCTAGAGTGAAAAGGAATGAAGGAGTCTCACACTTTGTCACACTGCACAGTGGCTCTAGTCAGCAACAGCCAATCTTCAAAATTGCTAGAAAAGAAATCTGAATGATCTTCTCACCGTGAAGAAACAACAGCTGCTTAAGGAAACAGTCTTAATACCAACAGATAATGAATACTTGAGATACTGGCACTCAACACACTAATTTGACCATTAAGCAATGGATACATGCCCCCAGAGAATCGTAGGCACTCCATGAACATGTGCAAGTATTATGTCAATTAAAAATACAAATGAAAAAATCATCAAGATAAAATTACTCAAGTGAAAACAAAATATAACTGCAATTAAGCTTATAAAGTAGCTTTATATGTATGAGAAAAAGTATGTCTGTGTATGTGTTTCTGTGTGTATATACAGGTGTGTCTCTGTGTATCTATGTGTATGTAGAAACAAGAAAGAACACACTGAGGACAAGTTAATTGTTAACAATTTATACTGTTCATCTGGGGGAGAGAGTCCCCTAGAGGAATATAGAAAGAAATACCAAATGTAAACAGAAAGCTTGAAGTCTCCATAGAAGAGTTGGAAGGGATTTAAAAGCTATCTTTTTTTAAGTGACCAGAGCAGACAGCTTTACCAATGCATTCCATGTAACTTTTATGGCGGATTTAATTCTATAGGTAACTATTCTAGGCCAAAGAAAAGTATTCTTCAATTTACCCTGTGAAATTGGAATAACCTCAGTCTCCAAACTTGCCTGGGAAAAATATGGAAACCATGTACTTTTCAGTTCAATACATCATACAAAACCCAAGCTCCAGCTGAATACAAAATAGTAACAGTCGGGAAAGTTCACTGAAAAACAAACATGGTTCAATACTTCAAAACCTACAATTAAAACAAATTATATCAAATCTGAAGACAGAACTAGGGAGATGGCCCAGAAGGTAAGGGCACTTGCCAGCAGGCCTGATAACCTGAGTTCAATCCCCAGGACCAACACACACACACACACACACACACACACACACACACACACACACACACACACACACACACACGTATTTAAAAAGGCTTTTAACATGAAAAATAAAGGATGAACAATATGATAATGACTACCCCAAAAGTACCTTGCAAAAAGCTTAACCATTAGTAATAAGTAACTAAATTTCTTAACAAATCATTTGCACACATAAAAAAAATAACATATATAAAATTTTCTCTATATACAAATGTAAGTATAGGTATATATAAGTACATACACATAAATACCATTTAATTCATATTATTAAAGTATATGGTGAATATATATTAATTAGTGTATATTAGCATATAAAATATATATCTTTATACATACGTATATACACACGCATATATATATACATATATACATATATATATATATATATATATATATATATATTTACCAAAAGCCTAAACAGCATGTAATTATACAGTTGTACTTATTCTTTGTTAAAGTATTAGTTTACCTGTTTGGGATGTCGGAACAAGGAATTCTTATAGAAAATGTCTTTAGCCTGGCTCCATGTACCATCAATGAGGATGATTGTGGAAGGGTAAACAGGAGAATCTAATATAAATTCTTCCAAATTAGTAGCTTCAGCCCCTGGATATAATATTAATGTACCAGAGTTCCGGCAAACAGTTGAAAGTTCAACATCTCTAAAACAATAATTTTTAAGATATCTTTATTAGGTGTGGGGAAAACAAAAGTTTTACTACACTTAGAGGCTGCCTAAGCTGCCCTCTCAACGAATCTGCCTAATCAAATGAAAATGGCAGTTCAAAGGTCAACCAGAAACCTCTGAATCTGGTGACTGGCATACTGCCTCCTCAGCCACAGTTCTTCCTACCAAGGCTTTGGTAGTCAATGGCCAATGACATCATTTTTAACCCTCCCAAAGAAACTTCTATGTAGGAAGGAACTACTCCCAGCTGCCTGTCAGTCAGCTCACTTACCGCTCTTCACTGAAGCGGCGGCCGACCTTTACTGTGCACTTGTCAGGAGGCAGGCATGCTGCTAGCAGAGGGACCGTGCGCAACACTTTGCTTTCCTTTAATGAAAAATTAAAACACTTTTAAAACTTTTCTGTAACTGACTGATGAAAGTGCTTGCTCATCAGGTACAGGAGACTGAGTGTCAACATCAGCATTACAGAAAGTGCAGCTTCTCTAAGAAACATTTGTTTTCTAAATGTATATATTTTTACAAGTCTTTTACTCAAGACCACACTTTAAGAAGCAATAACATTTCTCTAATTTATTAATATTAAGCATAATGCAAGCATCATTTTTAAACTTATTTAGATATATTTACAGGCTAATGGTTAGCATTAGAAATGACAGTGGGAAAATACTTAATAGATATATATGCAAACGCCATAATGAAACCCATTGTTGTACATAATTGATAAATATTAGTAATACACTAAATAAATTATAAATTATAAATACATGCAAATTTGTGTTACACTGAATAACTTATTCTGATAGGCTTTTTATCTCAACAGTAGTTTTATTTTGAACATGTCAGCTTGCAGATGATAGCCTATATCTCTGTACCAAAAAAAGCAGCAACATGCGCCAAAAATAAAACAAGGGACATGTCCAAATGACAGAGCCACAAACTTAGAGACTTACCAATGACCTAAGGGAACAATTCAAGCAACAAAATAAATACTACAGTCTAATCCAAAATACAAAAGTCTCCACAATGATACCTAAAAATTACTAAATAATTAATGAGAGAAAGGGAAGTAGCTTTCTTACACGATGCTCAATCCCCAGTGCAAACACTGCCTGTTCCAGAAATCTTACATTCTCCTCCCATGGAAGTGGCTGCGCTTTCAGGATTCAAAAGACCCAAGCACAAAGCTGACCTCCATCAGTGGCTTTCTTCAGTGTCCTAGCAATCATTGTAACCCTTAGCCTTTTTTTCTAAGAATTATTTCCTATAATGTGTTACAATTTCATATTTTCAAGTTTACCAATGAGGAGACTGAAGCACAGACAGATGCATTAACTTGCACAGTGTTATAGACTATACACAGCTAGTAACTATCTGAAACTCTTTCTCTGGAACCCTGACTGGTTTTTGTTTTGTTTTGTTTTTCCTTATTTTACATATTGACCCCAGTTCCCTCTCCCTCCTATACTCCCATGCCCCCCACACCCACCCCATCCCATTCCCTACCCACTCCCCAGGGAGGGTAAGGCCTTCCAGGAGGGATCATCAAAATCTGTCAAGTCATTTGGAGCAGGGAATAGGCCCTCCCTCCTGCCTCTAGGTTAAGGCAGTATCCCTCCATGGGGAATGTGCTCCTGAAGACCTTTCTTGCACAAGGGATACAACCTGGTTCCACTGTCAGAGGACCCTTAGACTGCCCAGGCCTCCTAACTGAGACCCACGTTCAGAGGGTCTGGGTCAGTCCTATGCTGATTGCAAATACAGCCTCTCATAACAAGCTAACATTCTGAACTCTCATAACTGATAATGGTTCTAGAAAATCAATAAACAGTGTGTGTGTGTGTGTGTGTGTGTGTGTGTGTATGTGTGTGTGTGTGTGTGTGTGTGTGTATTTATTTATGGCTAAATATATGTTGTTCCCAAGGCCATACAATTCAGCATAATGCTTCTTCCTTTTAAAGCTTCTTTCTTAATTCTTGAGATCACTTCTTGTTTTTAAGCAACCTTCTATATTCTTGAACCTACTCTTTGAAATGTCCATCACATCACTTCTACACATCATCTCTGCCACATCTTCTTTCTCCACATCTCCTGCTTGGAACCCACCCAGATGGTTTTCAATCTCATGTTTATAGGAGAACCGTGAAATTGTCAAATCCGTTTATGCAAAGTAGTGTGCTAAAGTTACACTTAAGCAGCCTAATATTAGTGTACTAGATGAAAACCAGAACATCCCTTTGCTGATAGGGAAAATAAATTTGGATATACTTATCTATTCATAAAATACATCAATAGTGGACACAGTTTTAAATGGGTCATCTAAATTGAGGATTAATTGTGATTTTTTAAAAAAAAGTGTAATATATTTCAAATTATAAAAATCACCACAAATCAATCTTTAAACCTACATTTTGAAAGCTATCTAATACCCTAGGGCAACATAACAATGAAAAAGAACCCTATTTGCACTCTAATATGGAAACTATATCACCAAAATGCAGGTTTTAATCCTCTATGACCATAGTACTATTCTTTTCTGTAAATGTAAGTTGTACAGTATTACAATTTTAACTGCAGTAAAATAATTCAGTGACAAAGTTGCCAGAATCATAAGAGCCTGCTGTCAAGTCTGGAAAAGGAGCTGTCAACAAATAACTTGCAACCAAGAGAAAGTATTCAGCATTTGCAAAACAGAAAATACTAATTTATTTTACCTCTTTGTTATATCTTTGAATAGACTATACAAAGTTTATTTAAAGGAGTTCTCACTTGGGTTACCACTAAATCCATTTACATCACACACTGACTTGTTTTGTATTAACTAATTTATAATTTCCTATTGTTTCCTTACATCCCCTCATCAGGACTCAAAACTCATAAACATTCCTATACACTGGCATATGTCTAATCCTCAACAGAAGAGTGGTAGCTAAAAAGCCTTACAGATGGCACAGTACAAAGTAAAAGTGTTCTAGCCACCTAAAAGAAAGAAATTTTTACTTGCATATCCATCATGTAAGAATAAAATGCCAAAGTCAGTATCTACTCTAGCAAGAAAAGCCATCAGGGAGCCAAGACATTAAAAGCAATCATTTCTCTCAGTTCTTTATTCACAAAATTGCATCTTTTCATCATACTAAATCTCTACCTTACAATAGCAGAATTGTATGAAAAACTGTCTCAAGCACATGACTCTCTACTACCACCTAATTGTGCTTTCTTCCTTAAAAAACAAATCCTTACCATGAATAATGGTTTTTCTGAAACACTACACAACTATGAGAAATGAGCATGTTACATGTGCGTTTTCTCTGGTGCACTCAGATTCCACCTGAATGCATATCATTCACAAATTTGTAACTCACCTCTGCTGGATGCTGAATTATGTACAAATGGGTGGAGATTTGGAGTGGGTGCACTGGTAGATATGGACACAAGCACACTTTCTGGGGCCGGCTAAAGGGTAAGAAAAGCAAAGAAAGGCAGTGAATTTTTTAAAGGCGATAAAACATCATCCAAATATGTCAATATTATGCCATTTTTATATCTAAAGAGACTTGGAAAAGCTATATACTTTCAAAATGAAACACCATTAATGGATTTAATGAGACACTTTAGATATGAAAATTATGAAAGAGATTTAAGTAAATTTTCCCCATCCCTGGAAATTCTGGGCTTGGCAGTACACTATAGTTCAGTGCTGTAGCTCTTGTTTAGTACTTACAAGGCCATAGGTTTGATCCACCACAAGAAAAACTAGCTAATATTAAAGAATGTCAATAAATATTAGCTGTCTTTAGTGGAAAAATAGTAACTAGCAAAGGGTCAAAATGAAGTGAATAAATAATTTTCAAAGAAGAAATACAAAATATCAATTACCTCTTGAAGTGTGCTTATGGCTATAAAGGCATGCGAGTTAGTCACAAAATATCTAACAACAACAAAGGTTTCTGATGGTGCAATGGCCAAAAAGCAACAAAATCAAACATTTAATGAGTTTGGGGTATGTATGGCAGCACATGCCCATATAGCATTGCATGTGTTTTCCCTGCAATATTGGTTCTGTACACAAATAATGCATACTTTGTATGCACATGCTATTACACCATGTAACACCAACAAACCTTTGCTCCTTAAAACACCCTGCCTGGCTCAACCTCAAATACTGTATGTTAGGAAATATAGTGCTTTTCCTGTTGTTTATAGAAACTTAATAATTTAATTGCTGAAAACAATACCTTATCAACATCCCTCAGCACTTGAGTACTAAGTTCATACTGTATTACAATGCTTGATTTTTGTAAAAAGTGCTATCTTAGCTGTTGGTCTGTGTCTCACATAAAAGTCACTAAATGAATCTCAGCATGCAATGTGGTGGCAAGTGACTAATTCTAGCACTGGGGAAGTGAAAGCAGGAAAATCAGGAGTTCAAGGTCAACCTCAGCTACACAGAAAGTTAAAGTTAGAGACTAGCCTGGAACACAAGAGAGCCTGTCTCAAATCTAGAAAAAATAGTAACTTTGTCTGAAGATTAGAACAGCATTTCCAACCATTTCTGAAATAGTGCCAAACATATGTTTGCCATTTTATACTATATATTCGTGAGTATTTTGCACTGATAATTACAAAATTAAAAGTATCTATCCACTGAAAAATGTTGACTGTGCTGCATGTTCTGCAGTATCAAATATTCAGCTAAGATTTAATTCTTTACATAAAAACAAACACTTCTATCTCATTAGTATGTAAGTTTGCTTTCATTTTTAAGAAATGATAAATCTGTTACCTATTCTAAAGAGTTATTTTAAAATAAAGTTCTTGAGATTTATCAGTAAATGTATGGTTTATATACATAGCTATATTATATGCAGAAGGTGCATAAAATTTTCTTCAGTTAAAAAGACGTAACAAAGATGGGTTTTTAAAGATTTATTTAGTTTATTTTTATGTATTTTTGACTGTATGTATATACACGTGTGTGCAGTGCCCATGGAAAGCAGAGGGGCCATTGGATTCTCTGGAGCTGGAATTACAAAGGTTGCAATCTATCATGTGGGTCATGGGAACTAAAACTGGAGAGAGGCAGGTGTTCTTAATCACCAAACTGTCTTTAACCACAACAACAGGGAAGGGTTTAAAAAGTTCTGTCTAGATGATACCTTGCGCAGGGATAAAAACACACAATCCTGGAGAATTAGCTCAGTGGTTAAGGGCACTTGCTGCTCTTTCAGAGGACCCAAGTTCAATTCCCAGCACCCACATGGTAGCCCACAACCATCTGAAACTATAGTACCAGGGGATCTAATGATGCCCTCTTCCAGGCATGCAAGTGGTACATAGACATACATGCAGTCAAAACAGTCAAATAAATAAAATAATAAAATACATAAATCTTTTTTGTTTTGTTTTGTTTTTGATGGGGGGCGGGGGCGTTTGTTTTGATTTGATTTGGTTTTCAAAACAGGGTTTCTGTCCAGAAACTCACTTTGTAGATCATGCTGGACTCAAACTCAAATGCCTTTGCCTCCCCTGTGCTGAGATTAATGGTGTGTGCCACCACTGCCCAGCATGTGTAAATCTTAAAACACACACACACACACACACACACACACACACACACACACACACACACACACACACAATCCCAGCTTCTTTCCTTCAATTAACCTTAAGGAGACCAAAAGAAAAAAAAAAAAAAAACAATGCACCCACTTTCTAGCTCCCTTTGAGATGATCTGGTATGACTGTCTTATCTCATGCTGAATGTCCTGTTGTGACTATAAACAGACTTACATTGGTGACAAGTGTTGTAATTTTTAAAAATCAGCTCAAGAAAGATGCCAAGCAACAGAGTTCAAATGGAGGGGTTGTTTATTAAGGGAATAGGATCGTTAAAAGGGGGAAGGGGAGAGATCCACCTCTGAGGACAGGAGCAGTGGGAAAGAGAAAAGAAAGACAGAGAAACAGAGAGGGAGAGAGAGAGAGAGAGAGAGAGAAGAAGGGAGTGGGGGGATGGGAGGTGGGCGGGCCCTTTTAAAAGGGAATGTATTTAATAGGCACAAGTGGTGTTCTTAATAGTAGCAGCTGAGGGTGTATCTTGTCAGAACTCCAAAGGCAGGCCAGTAAAATGCCTAAATACTGACAAGAAAAAATTCTTTCTGTAAAAGGAACTAGGATAACATTCAAATTCTAAAAAAACCTTAAGATTTAATTCTTCACATGAAATTTATCAAAAACATAAACTCAGATGACCAAAGAAAAAAATCAAATAAAAATTTGTTTCTTCAGCATAACATCAGGCAATTTAAAGTTAGAACCTAACCATACTCCAACAGGTAAGGTAGAATTTAATTTGGAAATTTTTAATACACATATACAAATTTTGGTCAAAGAACAGCTATGGTTCTACAAACACTAATTTTTATAGATTAAAAAGTCCTATTATAGCATCCTGGGCTACCACAGTAGTGAACATTCATTTCAGACCTTTAGCAGATGAATCACCAATTACACTGCATTTTTAAAATTATCATTCATCAGCTGTGTTGTGATGTGAGCATTTATTATTAGGTTTTATTTCAATTCTTATGGGTACTTTTAGATCTTTAAAATCTTCGGCATCACTAAAATTCTTTAGTGGCATTGTGAAATCGATTTACTCAAACTGCCCTTTATAAACACTCCCTCAAAGAACTCAGTGAAAATGTTAAATGAGACTAATTCTATAAAAAGTAAATTGAACCAAAATATTGTAGCCTTTTTAAAATTTAGCTCTGAAAATTTCAATAGTAAATACAACTAATACAAAAATCAAGTTATCTTCCCATGGAACCATTAAGAACATTTACCAAGTACGCTCTAAAAGTCTACTAATAAAGCCGGGTGTTGGTGACACATGGCTTTAATCCCAGCACTCGGGAGGCAGAGGCAAGTGGATCTCTGTGAATTCTAGGATAGCCTGGTCTATAGAGTGAGTTCCAGGATAGTCTCCAAAGCCACAGAGAAACCCTGTCTCTAAAAACAAAAAACAAACAAACAAACAAAACTCTACTAATAAAACTGGTTCTCCAGAACTGGTTGGATCTCTGGTCAATTTAAGCTATCAATCTGTATACTACTTAGTCCATTACTTTAAGGATGGTGTCTAACCAGAACTATGCTTATTCTCTAGAACACTCCTTGTCTGCAACTATTTCTTCTTCTTCACAGGACTGGATTCACTCATTAATTATAGTCGTTTACACTTCCTTAAACTCTTACTGGTACTTCTGGACTTTTAGATAATTGAGACTGATTAAGCTACAAAACTACAGGGCCAGGAAGTGATATGTGAAGGTTTGAATGAGGTGTCCCCCACTAAGTCTTGGACATTTGAATACTTGGTTCCCAGCTGATGGCTGTTCAGAGGATTAGGTGTGGTCTTGCTGGAGGAAGTATGTCTCTGGGATGGACTTTAGGCTCTCTACTTCTTGCTTGGTGTTTGAGGTATCACAACTATCAGCTTGCATCACCATCACCTAGGAGGAGACTGCTGAGCCTAGCAATCACCTCACCGATCACCTCATGCAGATTCTGACAGAGTAGCCCTGGGAATTTGTATTTCTGACAAGGTGGAGGTTGGTGGGTGATACTAATGCACTTCTCTATAAGCATGCACCTCTTCAGCATTTTCTTTCCCACTGAAGACTTGAATTCATTCCTATCTAAATGCTACCTACTTATCCATTCCTGCATCTGAAGACTGTCAAAGCCTTTTGAATTTTTAAAGAAGCAGTTACCGAAGAACAAACAAAAGAACAGTGAGGGAACAAGCCAATGAAACCATTTTCTCTTCACGAAAATGACCTTTCCTAGTCAACCAATTCAGTTGCCCTGACAACTCTATCACTAGGCAACCCTGCATATGATTAAAACAACTCACAACTGATAGAATGCATAGTACCTGGAAAATTATAAAGGACACCATACTTTGGGCTCCCCCAAAATGGCACCTTAGAAACTTGCTAAATGTATGAGCTGTTCATCTAGAGCTGTGCTGTGTGGAACACATCACCTTGCATCTGAGCCAGATCACTACACCAAACTGTCACAAAGATTATGGCAGAAAAGAAGCACCTTGACGTGCTCTCATGCAAGTTGTCGATCTTGTCCTGTATGTTTCTGGCATCAAGAGTGGCATGTAGCCAGGCAATGGTAGTGCACACCTTTAATCTCTGGAGGCAGAGACAGGCAAATCTCTGAGTTGAAGGCCAGTCTGGTCTCCTGAGTGAATTCCAGGACAGCCAGGGCTACACAGAGAAATCTAGAAAAACTAGGAGGGGAAGGCAAGCTATAGCTGCCTATTTTCCAGAATGTTTCACTAACCCCACCTATCTCCAGGACCTGATTCTTTATCTTCTTTACTCCAATATACTACTCTAAAGTAATCCATTTACTCTCCTACTATCGCTTTTCTT